CGCGCTCGTCCCCTGTCATTCCCGCCGCGCTCGTCCCCGCGCTCGTCCCCGTCGCGCTCGTCCCCGTCGTCCCCGCCGTCGCGCTCGTCCCCGTCGTCGTCCCTCGTCGCGCTCGTCCCCGTCGCGCTCGTCCCCGTCGCGCTCCCGTCCCCGTCATCCCCGTCGCGCTCGTCCCCTGTCGTCCCCGTCGCGCTCGTCCCCGTCGCGCTCGTCCCCCGTCGTCCCCGTCGCGCTCCGTCCCCGTCCGTCCCCGTCGCGCTCGTCCCCGTCGCGCTCCGTCCCCCGTCGTCCCCGTCGCGCTCGTCCCCTGTCGTCCCCGTCGTCGCTCGTCCCCTCGTCCCCGTCGCGCTCGTCGTCCCCGTCTCGTCCCCGTCGCGCTCGTCCCCGTCGTTCCGTACAAAACGCTCACGAACACTCGACACAATGAAAAAATAGATTTCTGAGGAGAATGAAACTCACGGCCGCGGTTTGTTTGTTTGTTTGTTTGTTTTTTTTCTAAAGTTTTGTTCGAGTTTTCGTATAAAATCCCCCTGAACGTGACGCGACGTTTTTTTCCCTTTGTTTCGTACGAGGTAAATCTATACGTTTGTGAAATAAATATGGTGTAAAAAAAGACGAAACGGCGACGTCGCGTGATCATGTACGAGGCCACGCCCCCTTCACAAACGCCTCATTCACCAACGGAAAAGAAACGACGACGAAGACGAAGAAACAAAAACAGAAACAAACGTGATTCTGTTTTTAAAAAGTCACAGTTTTACATTTCAAAACTAAACCAGGACTAAACCAAGTCTAAACCAGGACTAGATCAGGACTAAACCAGGACTAACCAAGTCTAAACCAGGACTAGATCAGGACTAAACCAGGACTAAACCAGAACTAAACCAGGACTAGACCAGGACTAAACCAGAACTAAACCAGGACTAGACCAGGACTAAACCAAGTCTAAACCAGGACTAAACCAGGTCTAAACCAGGACTAAACTGGGTCTAAACCAGGTCTAGCTCAGGACTTCCACGAGGTTCTTTTATTTTAACTTCATTCACAGGTTTGATCACGTGTCTTGCTCGAGGACACAACGACGTAATAACCCTTTAATAACCCTTTAGTTTGACTTTGTCGCTTTTAAATAAATAAATAATAACAAACGAGACGTAAAAAAGTGGCCCGTGTGAATGAGGAGCTTCTGAAGTCCGACTGCGAAACACAAACGCTCCAGAACATTTACAAAGATTAGAAAAACTCACAGTATTTTTCTCCTAAACAACATTTGGCACCGACTCGAAAGTCCAACACCGGAACTCAGCCCAAACGGAACCGGGACCGAGCGACCAGGAGGCGCTAGCGGGAGGCATGTGCGTGTCTGAAACCGCAGGGGCTCAGTGGTTCTGTAGAATCGTGTGTGGTCAGATTTTTTCCGTTTTTATCGATGTTTGAGGTTAAGTTTTGCAGTTCAGTGTTGCCAGGTTGGGTGAGAAGATCGTATTTGGGTGAATTTCAACAAGTTTGGGCATTTTTTTCAATCAACGCGATACGGAAAAACGCAAAAACACGAGGAACCGTCCGGGACTTTGGCTCCGGTCGGGGTCTGGTGCCGTGGTGACGTCCCGCGGTTCAGCTGCTGCAGGTTCAGATCGTCGATGTTTGAGGCTCAGGGTTTTGTGTTTTTTGTGTTTTTTGGTGAGATTCAGGTTCTAAAAAAGAAACGACGACAAAGACGAAGAAATAAAAACAGAAATATGATTCTGTTTTTAAAAAGTCACGGTTTTACATTTCAAGACTAAACCAGGACTAAACCAGAACTAGACCAGGACTAAACCAGAACTAGACCAGGACTTTGATGAAGACGTTGTTTTACATTTGACTGAAGTTTTTACACATCGTATTTTTTGGACCATAAAGTGTAAGTCCTGTTTATTGATCAGATCTGTTTTTCTGACACGAGCCTCTTGGACGCTCAGGTCCTCAGGTCTTCAGATCCTCAGGTCCTCAGGTCCTTCAGGTCTCGTCCCTGAACTGTCCCAAGAGTCAAACTAAAACTCAGACTGAGGTTCAGGTTTTACAGAACAGTCGACCTGATGACCTGAAGTCGGCTCTGCACGTTCAGATTTTTAAAGTAAACCTAAAACGTTTCTTTTCAATTTAGCTTTTAATTGAAACTTTTACGTATTTTAAATTAAATTATTATTTTATTTAGTCTCCATCTAATTTTTGCTCAATTTTTTACATTTTTACTATAAACTTTAGGAGCTTTTTTTTTTAAAATTATTGTAATTTTTCTGTTGCAGGTTTCAAATGTATGAAAAGTGTTAAACAAATAAAGTTTGATTAATTGATCGAACATCCGTCATGTCAAATTCTCTCTTCGATTTTCATACAGAAGGTGCATTATGTTGGACGAACACTGAGCGATATTTTCAATGGTTTCTCTCGGCTCCGGCTCAAACTATTCGACGAAAATTTAAAAGTTCACAGCTCACGGTTCCTTTTCTGACCCTGAACGACTTGATTTTCCTTCGACCTACGACTGTGGACGGGGATCTGGTCGTGACGGATTCGTCGTTTTTTGTTCCTCCACGTTTATGGCGCGAAGCACGACACGATTAAGACAAAACTCCAACCTAAAAACAGACGCACGAGGGAAAAATCGACTCAAAAAGGGTAAAAAAATCTGAGTGTTTAAGAGAAACAAACGGACGACGCTCGAGCTCAGCTGATCCTTCGCCCAGTCGTCCTCGATCCATCGGCAGATCGTGGCGTAACTCGCCCGCCGTCGCTTCCATGTCCCAGTAAATCTGTTTTACTCCACGATGCTCCGATAATTCATCAAGAGACGAGGCTTCGCAGTTTAACAAAGTCGTACTAAATCATTTGGACAGATTTTTGACGCTGTGAAACACAGAAAATCAGTTCGACGTCGTTAAACAAAACCAGAGTTAAAACATAAGGCACTGGATTATAAGGAGAACTGTCGATTTTTGAGAAAATTTAAGAATTTTAAGTGCAAATTATAGTCCGAAAAATACAGTAACGTGTTTTCTTAAATATATTTATTCAAAGATTAAATGTTTCTGTAAAAAAACGTGAATGGGCGGAGTTTTTTGGTGCTAAAAAGGGCGGGTTTTTGAACGTGATTGTGCGGAAATCACTAAACCCAATCTGGCAACACTCCTGAAGTGAAGTTCATTCTGCTGCTTCAGGTCTTTAAAAATTCTGTCGATTAAAAACGGTTTTACTGGAGTTTTTGTGTCAGTGTCATCAAGTAATTTCATTTTGATCATTTATCGCAGTATTCCTCTGTATTTTATTATTCTTTTGAGCTGATACTGATACGATATTTGACGTCCACAACCGTCTTCAGCTCGTCTGTGATCTTTGCTTTAACTTTCCATATTTTACCAGAAATAAAATGATTTTCCTGTTTCCATCTGGCCCCATGAGTGTGTTCTAAAGAATATCAGTATCGATATTTGCCAATACCGACATAGACGATTCTGTGTCGATATCGGCCGATAAAGATACTCGATATATCGCCCGTTCCAAGGTGTTGTTGTTGTAAATTTGCTCCGTGTGTAGTTCAGGCCTCCACAAACTTGGCTGTAAACACGGAGACGGTTCGGGTTTGTCGTCCCCGGCGTCGCGCGGACTCAGGTCCCGTTTGGGCGGAGCCTAAACCGAAGAGGATGAAACAAAATGGCGGAGAGACTTTGGCGGTGGGAACACAAAATGTCCGACGGCGTGAGGTCACAGTAAACTGAGGCGCCCTCAGCGGAGAGATACGGAAGCTACGAATAAATACCACGAAAGGAGCCGGGCCCAGTAGTCCGGTGCACCTGCCGCTCCGCCAGTGCACCCGTCTGTAGTCCAGTGCACCTGTCTCAGTGCACCCGTCTGTAGTCCAGTGCACCTGTCTGTAGTCCAGTGCACCCGTCTGTAGTCCCGTGCACCTGTCTGCAGTCCCGTGCACCTGTCTGCAGTCCCGTGCTCCTGCCGCTCTGCCAGGTGCACAGGGGCAGTGTCTCAGAGGAGCCGGAGGCGTTCAGAACGTTTTTACAAATCCGTGGAAAAAGTGGCCGCTGTGGTGAAGTCACAGGCAGAAGAAGAAACAGGTCCAACGACGAAAGTGAGGAAGAGGAAGAGGAAGGAAGGAGGAGGAAGAAGAGGAAGAGGGAGGGAGAAAGAAGGAGGGAGGAAGGAGGAGCTCAGCAAACACAAAAACCACAGGAGCTAAAAGCACCACGCAGACTGATGTCACTGGTGATACAGCTGGTGTTGGTGGTGTTGGTGTTTGGTGTTGGTGTGTTGTGTGTGTGTTGGTGATTGGTTGTTGTTATGTTGTGTTGTTGTTGTGGTGTTGTTTGTTGGTGTGTTGATGTTGGTGTTGTGGTGTTGTGTGTTATGTTGGTGTTTGTTGGTGTTGGTGATGTTGGTGGTGGTGTTTGATGTTAGTGTTGGTGTTGTGTGTTGATGGTGTTATGTGTTGTGTTGTTGTGTGTTGGTGTGTTGGTGGTTGTTGGTGTGTGGTGTTGTGTTAGTGTTGGTGTTGGTGTTGTTGGTGTTGTTGTTGTGTGTTGGTGGTGTGTTGTGTGTTGTGTGTGATGTTGTTTGGTGTTGGTGTGTTGGTGTGTTGTGTGTTGGTGGTGTTGGTGGTGTTGGTGTTGGTGTTGTTGTTGTTGGTGATGTTGTTAGTGTTGTTGTTAGTGTTGTTGTTAGTGTTGTTGTTGTTGGTGTGTTGTGTTGGTGGTGTTGATGTTGTTGTTGGTGTTGGTGGTGTTGGTGGTGTTGGTGTTGGTGTTGTTAGTGTTAGTGTTGGTGTTGTTGGTGTTGGTGTTGTTGGTGTTGTTGGTGTTGTTGTTGTTGGTGATGTTGTTGTTGTTGTGTTGTTGTTGTTGTTGTTCCAGGTTCTTTTTCTTGAGGCTGAAGCTGATCATATAATGTAATAATGTAATAATATAAATATAAAAACATATTTTTTGTTTTTTGTTGGTTTGGCTCTGAGGCTCTCGCAGATCGATATCGAGGTATCGGCTCTTTTAGCTCCTGTGGGCGTTTGCAGATGTGGGCGGGGTCAGGGCAGGGGTGGGCGGGGTCAGCAGGTAAAGGGGCGCGGCGTCGGGTTAGAAGGCGGAGCCTGTGATGGCGTTGAGCTGCTTCATGAGTCCCTCCAAACTCGCCATCTGCTCCGAGAGGTCGTCCTGTTCATAAACCTGCAGAGACACAGAGAGAGAGAGAGAGTACTACTACTGCGAGTACTACTACTACTACTACTACTACTACTACTACAGTAACACCTGCAGAGACACAGAGAGAGAGAGAGTACTACTACTGCGAGTACTGCGAGTACTACTACTACTACTACTACTACTACAGTAACACCTGCAGAGACAGAGACACAGAGAGAGAGAGAGAGAGTACTACTACTGCGAGTACTACTACTACTACTACTACTACTACTACAGTAACACCTGCAGAGACACAGAGAGAGTACTACTACTGCAAAGTACTTACTACTACTACTACTACTACTACTACTACTACTACTACAGTAACACCTGAGACACAGAGACACAGAGAGAGTACTACTACTGCGAGTACTGCGACTACTACTACTACTACTACTACTACTACTACAGTAACACCTGCAGAGACACACAGAGAGAGTACTACTACTGCAAGTACTGCGAGTACTACTACTACTACTACAACTACAGTAACACCTGCAGAGACACACAGAGAGTACTACTACTGCGAGTACTGCGAGTACTACTACTACTACTACTACTACTACTACTACAGTAACACCTGCAGAGACACAGAGAGAGTACTACTACTGCGAGTACTGCGAGTACTACTACTACTACTACTACTACTACTACAGTAACACCTGCAGAGACACACAGAGAGTACTACTACTGCGAGTACTGCGAGTACTACTACTACTACTACAGTAACACCTGCAGAGACACAGAGAGAGTACTACTACTGCGAGTACTGCGAGTACTACTACTACTACTACTACTACTACAGTAACACCTGCAGAGACACAGAGAGAGTACTACTACTGCAAGTACTGCGAGTACTACTACTACTACTACTACTACTACAGTAACACCTGCAGAGACACAGAGAGAGTACTATTACTGCGAGTACTGCGAGTACTGCGAGTACTACTACTACTACTACTACTACTACTACAGTAACACCTGAGAGACAGAGACACAGAGAGAGTACTACTACTGCGAGTACTGCGAGTACTACTACTACTACTACTACTACTACTACAGTAACACCTGCAGGCAGGGACACAGAGATAGTACTACTACTGCAGGTACAGCAAATACTGCAAATACTACAACTACTACTACTGTTACTACAGTAACACCTGAGGGACAGAGACACAGAGTACTACTACAGCAAATACTGTGAGTACTGCAAATACTACTACTGCAAGTACTACTACTATATGGTACAAATACTACTACAGTGCACTACTACAGTGTACTAATAACTAATACTACTACTACAGTGGAGGTCGTGTGGAGTCGTGTGGAGGTCGTGTGGGGGTCGTGTGGGGTCGTGTGGAGGTCGTGTGGGGTCGTGTGGAGGTCGTGTGGGGTCGTGTGGAGGTCGTGTGGAGGTCGTGTGGGGTCGTGTGGAGGTGTGTCGTGTGGGGTCGTGTGGAGGTCGTGTGGGGTCGTGTGGAGGTCGTGTGAGGTGTGGGGTCGTGTGGGTGTCGTGTGGAGGTCGTGTGGGGGTCGTGTGGAGGTCGTGTGGAGGTCGTGTGGAGGTCGTGTGGGGGTCGTGTGGAGGTCGTGTGAGGGTCGTGTGAGGTCGTGTGGGTCGTGTTGAGGTCGTGTGGGAGGTCGTGTGGAGGTCGTGTGGGGGGTCGTGTGGAGGTCGTGTGGAGGTCGTGTGGAGGTCGTGTGGGGTCGTGTGGAGGTCGTGTGAGGTCGTGTGGAGGTCGTGTCGTGGTGGAGGTCGTGTGGGGGTCGTGTGGAGGTCGTGTGGGGGGGTCGTGTGGAGGTCGTGTGGAGGTCGTGTGGAGGTCGTGTGGGGGTCGTGTGGAGGTCGTGTGGAGGTCGTGTGGGTCGTGTTGAGGTCGTGTGAGGTCGTGTTGAGGTCGTGAACTGAAACACCCGCAGGACCCGGTGTAGGTCTGAGGTGGGGACTCACGTTGGCGCCGGCGTCGTCAGCCTTAAGCCCCGCCTCCTCCTGCAGCTCGGGCGCCGTGGGCACAGACACGGGCAGAAGAGGAGAGCGAGCTTTACCCCCCAACCCCAACGAGGCGGTTTTCACCTGAGGCTTCGGCAAAGAACCCGCTGAGAACACAAGAAGAACTGTCAGACACACATGATCTGACCCTCGGGTTCAGTCCTGGTTTAGTCCTGGTTTAGTCCTAGTTTAGTCCTGGTTTAGTCCTGGTTTAGTCTTGGTTTAGTCCTGGTTTAGTCCTAGTTTAGTCCTGGTTTAGTCCTGGTTTAGTCCTGGTTTAGTCCTGGT